CGGCCGGCGCTGGGTGACCCTGCTTCGGCAGGGGGGTTGGACTGGGTGACCCACAGAGGTCCCTTCCAACCCCTACTATTCTGTGATTCTGTCCAGTCCACGCCCGACTCCTCCTTCACTTCATGTTCCAGCCCCAGGAACGGCAGCACAAGCCGGGAGCGGTGCAGTACTCGGGAGTCACTCCAGCCAGCGAGCGGGATTTCCTCACAGCGGGAAAGGGCATCTCCTCCTGGAACCGCAGCTGTAGTCGAACCCGATCGCAGACGGCAGCGGTGCAGCCAAGGAGCCCGGCTCAGAGCGAGTGCCGCTACGTCTCCGGCAAAACGAGCATCAGAAGAATGGGGCATTTCATACTCTCTGCTGTGCCACAGGGGACACATTTTTAAATTTTTGAGTCAATAGATCCAGCCAGGACCTATTAAAGTCAGGGCTGCTTGCAGCATGGAGGCAGAGGAGAGTGATGGGCAACACGGACGGCACAGTACGCAGTAACGCGGTCAATCCCAGATTCCTTGGGCAGGTGGATGCACTCCCTTGCGTCCGGGGAGGGGACGCCGGAGCCCTGCAGAGACGGAAGCTGTACGACGATGTCCGTGTGACACCCGGGTTCAACACCCCCCGTTATTACGGGAGTTGCCCGCAGGGAAGAGGTTGGGTTCGCCGGCAGCCGCGAGCCTTCTCGTCACGTCAGCGGGTTTCTGGGGAAGGGGGCTGTTCTGGGGAGTAAGCTGGGATAAAGATCTGAGACGGCCTGCGGTCCTCGGCTCTGCAGATAAGCTGTCGCTAAGCAGGAGGAATTAGAAGCCCTGTCTGTCCAGGGAAGTGAGGTGACAGAGTAATGAGTCCCCTCCTCTTCCTCGGTACCACCCGAGCACACTGGGGCACTGCGTCCCCATCAGACCCTTCAGCGGCAATCCGCACGTCTCAGCTTCTGCCCTACTCCCGGCAACTCCTGCTGTCCTTCCAGCTATTCTGGCAGATGGAAGAAAGATCTGGCTTCCCAGTTACCCCATGACTAGCACAGACATTACTTGCACCGCAGTCCAAAAAAGCACGTTTAAACGGGGTTTTCGCCCAAATCCAGGAGCCATCAGAATATAAGACAGGCTTAACTGTTCTGAAGGAGCTTCGGTCAGAGTCCTGGGTCTATCACACAAGGTCACCCTCTTTCTCCCAAGAGATCTAAGTTTCAATCCAGAGACATTACCCTGACTTCAGATACAAGCCTGACCTTACCTTAAGTCAAATACTCTCAGCTTTGTCTTAAAAGTGACGGATTCCAACCAAAACGGCAGCCTGCCGAAACCTTCCGCGACCCCACCGCCGCACCCAGAGGCAGAGCACCGCTCGCTTCGCTGTTCTCAGCGATAAAGGACGCTACTTGCACACGGGTACTTTTTTTTTTTTCTTTTTTTTATTGCTGTTAATTCAAGGAAAAAGGTTGCATAAAATCCAATCTCTTCTAGAAATATAAGTGACCTTTCCAGTACATTTCAAATATCAAAGTATATGGTAAACATACAAATAAAGAGAAGGTAACATACCTCCTATTTACAGTACAGTATTTTAAATCATAAAATAAGTTCCATAAAGTACAACTGGCAGGTAATTCACAATACAAGTCCATTGGTGGTTTAACACCCTCACTTCAACTCAAACGCAGTTCATTCATTTCAAGTGGTCCAAAAATACCCAGATCAAAAAAAAATTTTAATCAAAATAATTTTCATTTACTACTTAAACTTTTTTTTTTTTTAAATTAAAGCTTTCATCTACCTCCCTCCCCATTCCCCCCCTCCAAGAAAAAAGTTTCAAAATGTACACTGGTGCTATAAATATAAATGCTACCTATGAAGAAATGTAGTAATCAAGCTTTTTTTTTTTTTTTTTTCTTCTTCAAGTTTTTTGTTTGTTTAGCAATTTATTAGACGGCTGAACCAAAGACTGATTTTATTTCATCCCTCTACCGGACACCAGGTCTGACTTTAAGAAAAAACATTTCTGCCATGAACTGTGAGGAATGCCAAACCCTATGGATATACAGTGGTAGTTGTTCATCGGTGTTGAATGCAGCAGTCAAAAAATACACTCATCTTCCAGATAACCTCAGTGCACTTTAGGAAATCAAATATTACCTGGAAGCAATTTAGTACATATATTGGCTTTTAAAAATAAAATAAAAAATACAGCAGCATTAAACTTACTTACTCATGATACTGACATGATTAATACCATCTTAACACTCATTTCAGTCTTTCACATTATACCGTAATTACGCATAGTGGTAAATCGTTATAAAATAGTGACTTTGCTATTTGGTAGACAGGTTCTAATACTAATACCTGACTATTTTGTAGAAAACCATAGCTTTTGTTCAGTTTGAAATCAAACATTTACATTCTAAGTACAATGCAACACTGTAATAGTTTAGGAAAAAAAATACTCAATCAAGTAATGTTCGTTCTGTGTTGACACGATGTAGAATAGCTTTAAAAAAGGAAAAAATGCTGTCAACTTTCATTACAAATGCAAACACACTGAGTACAACATTCATACCATTTTTTTCACCTTTGTTGCTGAACATACAGGCTAAAAAGCTACAATGGAAGAAAAATCTGTCAATTTAAGCTCGTTCGCTTTCCTAAATCTGTTCCAGTCCACACAGTTTCAGCCCCTTCCTGCTCTAGGCATTTTCAGTTACGTGGGACTCTCCAGAGCCGTGTATTCGTATTATTATCAGACACAGCACACATACAGTGCTGTGTGTTCCTTTGGACTCTCCTGGTAGGACATTTGAACATCTCCCCTCAATTCATGGGCACCAATTTTGAGTACGGGCAGGGTCTGTATGAACTGCTAAACACTCATGCAAGTCCAGCGAATCCACGTGGACAAACAGGGAAAGAAAACAAAACAGCAGCATAAGGAGAACAGGGAGGGAGGGAAGAAGATTGTGGTGGGGAACATGACCGAGTTTCTTCTTTCACCATATGGCTGCTCCACCAGTGATGTCAGAGGTCAGAGGACTTTTTTGTTTTTTTTCTCTCTAAAAAAATGCAGTAAACATTGCACATGTCTCAAGTCTTCAGTGCAAAAGCATGGTTCGAATGCTCTTTTTGATTGTTTGGCTGTGTGTTTGAATTACATGCATTACGCAAGCCTTTTGTAGAACCGGGAGGAGACCAGGGACTCAGCTTTCTTCTTTTGTATGGAACAGAGGTGCAAAAGCAATGAAAAATTCCAAAAGAATATAGAACCGGGAATGTCCCAAAACACGAGACCAACCCCTCCCTCCCGCACACACCTTCCCCCAGTTTCCCAAGCTTCAGTTTAAGTAGGCAATGTTTACTTGTTTCAGTCTGCAGAATCCAAGGTATCATTGGAAGGGGGAGGGGGAGGTGCGTATCTCAGTCTGTAAGTGCCTAAAACAGGAAAGAGAACTACTAAGTCACTGCTCACAATTAAAATGGATTACAAAACCACTACAAGGTATCAAAATGGACATGCTCTTCAAAAGGCACTATCATCCTCCAGTCCTTTTAAAGTAGGCCCTAAGACTTTATACTACTTTCTTTCATCTGCTTGCTAAAACTGTAAGTTTAAAAAAAGATATAGACCGCAGATCTAGGACTTTACCTTTACCGGAAAAATGCAAGGAAAATAAGACCTCCATCAACGTTTGTCTTTCCTGTTCCAGTCCGACCAAACAAGTGAAGTCAGAACGGGCGCAGGCCAAGAATCGAAACCAGTTTATGCTCTATGCAAACCCTGCCTTTCCCCCATTCTTCTGGATGGAGAGGGAAACGGCACGTAAGAGCGAAGCCATTCCTTTGACTTCTGGTTCCAATTGGTGTCTGCCTTTTTGCTGCAACTCGTCTGAGAAGTTAAAGCGCGTTTCATTTACGTCTCGCACGATGGGGCACAGAAGGACGGCTGACGGTGCACAGTTAAGCTTTAGAAGCTAAATTATCAAATGGCCAGTCTGTCGGGTTTTTTTAAATCCTCACAAGTTTTAAGGATCCAAGTTTGTATCATAGACAGTAATTGGTATCTTTCACTTTTTGCCAATGAATTATCTCCAAAAAACCACTGAACAGGAACTGAAAAATTGAAACAACGTGCAAGCCTCAACATAACGCCAAAACCAAACCAGCGAAAAAAGAATGACGATTTAGGACTGATACAGTTTGACTTCCCAGCTCCGAATCATACCTATTTTCAGCTCCACGCTGTGAACCCCGTTCCCTTGCACTGTTCTACAGAATTTTCAGGCAGAGATAAGATACTTTGCAGTTTTAGAGCAGGTCACTAGTGCACAACCATTTACACAAAACATACGCACGCACGCACACCTTTCTGCAAGACCAGAAACAGCACATTCAGAAAGGTAAAGAGAAACCGCTAAACTCAAAAGCAAGTCCGCTGGGAGTTATCGTGATTACCTTGTTGACTGGCCTCCATGGATGACTGCTTACAGTCCTGCGCATAGTGTCCACTTACACCACAATTGTAACACGAAACGTTCCCGTTCTTCTTGGGTCCCGACCCATTTGTGTTGGCAACTACGTTAGGTGCTGGATATACAGGGTAGTACCTCCCAAATCCTGCCATCTGCTGCATACCATAGTTGGCTTGGCTCCCCATCACTGGGTCATGCATAAGCCCGTTTGCATATGGAGACTGAGGCAGGAAGTAAGGAAGTTGTGTTCCATTGCTTTGATGTGCTTGATTGAGGTAGCTGCCATTGCAAAGTGATGGCAGAGTGAAGAAAGGTGGAACTCTGTAGACTTGTCCATGAAGTGGATTAGGATAAAAATAGCTATTAATCGGAAGGCTTCCATTGGTCCCACAGCTACACCTACGTCCGCAAGAACCGCAAGGACCCGATGCCAACTGCTGCGGAGGTAACATCGTCCCGTTAGTGTTGTTGTTTCCAACAGCGTTTATGTAGGATGTGCTGTCGCTCTGTGCAGTGCTGTGTGTTAAAGCGGGGCTCGGGCTAGGGGCAGGGCCTGGCGTATGCGTAGGTATTGCAGGAGGAACAGTGGACTGGACCTGACCAACACCTAAACCAGCCGACTGAGGCGGTGAGGAGGTCGCTACAGTGTTCAGCACGTTTGTATTCTGGTTGGGCAACACGTTGGTAGCGTGAGGACTGCCTGGCAAAGCGTATGAAGCTGGTGGAGGTGCTGCTGTGGAGAGACCGGCTGCTGGAAGAACTACCTTTAGATTGGTAGGCTGAGGGATTGCTCCTGGGTTTCCCTCAATGTGAGGCACCATTTGATTCAGTCCTACCACCTGGGATGCAGGTTTTGTGATGGGATCTGTAGTAGGAACCGGGGATCCTGGGAAACTACCTGGATTGTGGACTGGGATAAAGGCAGTATTTGGTGATCCAATACTTAAGCTTCCTGTCGGCTGCTGCGGTCCATTAACTGTGCAGCTTTCCGATGACCCCTGCGGAGAGGGCATTTTCAATCTATGCATTGCCAAAGGCAAAGCAGGGCTACCAGGCTGGACAGAATGTGGAAGGAAAGTGGATGGGACTGGCAAGGGGGAAGCCATCAGCTCGAGGCGTTTCTCAGGTTCACCAGAGGTCACTGGGCCCATTCCACCAGGAGGTGAATTTGCAGACTCTCTCACCGGCGAGACAGCAACGGGCGTCGTAACAAGCATTCCCATAGTTTTGCTGTCTGCAGATATGGGCGGCGGGACGACTGCTTCAGGCTTTTGGGCAGCGCTGTGCATCACACAGTGTAAGGCAGGCATGAGGGAAATATGTTGAAACTTTGCATTCAAAGAATCTTCTGAAAGGCTTCCGTTTTCGTTGTTCACTGCAGAGATCTGAGCAGACGACTTGTTCATAGTTGATGAACTGACAGCACTGTAGCCTGTAAACCTGGTTGTGTTTTGATTCCCAGAGTCCTCAGAATTGCTGTCTGTATCTGTGGAAACAAAAGCATTCGTCAGGAGTCAGAAGAACGAATCGGAAACAGCACAGTCATGCCTGGGGCTCATTTACCCATATAAAACTTCCCAAGTTTGATGATGCAAATGATAGTTATGTCTTCCCTAATTAGAATAACTTTGAGATTATTCTCATTCATTCAAATCCAGCTAGGCAATGTCCATCACTTGCCTGTATCAAACTGCCCAACTACCTATGGTGCCCTTGACTTGTGTATACCTGCAAATGTGAAGAGTAGGACACAGGCCGAATTAGGAATCTGCATCTATCCAGAAAGCCATTAACACAGCTTACTCAAATTTGGAAGGAGTGGCAAATTAAACTGTCAGTACGAAAAGAAGGACCTCTCAGACACATAATTCCATATAAAACTGGTCCCTTTCATGCCAAAGTTTTTCCCCATTACTGTACTGTTGAAATTTCTCAAGAGAGCTATGCCACTGAGGTCAGAAAATTCATGTATGTAGCGATCCCAAACTCAATGGTATTCAAACAATCCTGCTATTTGCTAGCAGCCTTCAGACTGTCCAGTCACAAAACCCACAAAGCAAAATGTGTTCTGTGGCTAGCTCAGAAATAAAAGCAGCTAATAAAACTGAGAAGCTAATTAAAATTACTAAAAGAAAGAGATTTGTCTACTAATCAAGACGCTCATGCACACTATCCATAAATACCACCTCTGTCTTTCTCTTCTTCACTATCAAAGCTTTCCCTCCCATCATGTCGTGGACTGGAAGGAGAACTGTAACTTCCAGATGATGTTTCTCCACATGTGTCATGACCAGATCCAGCGTCCAAATTCAGATCTAAAAATAAAAATCGGCATTTTTATTTTTAATCTCAGTGTATGGAAGTGAGGTTATTTTGGTTTGCTCACATCTCACGCTAGTTCCCACTTTTGTTTGTTCCTACTTAACTGCATCTGTCCCCTGTGTTCCTAACATTCCCACTCCCAGCAGTCAGGACTGGTCTTGTCCCTAAATTTGCGATGACCGAATCCTTGGTGTTAAAGAAGGTGACACTAAAAATCAGTATTTATGCAGAATAGTGAAAAGAATGATCATCCTTAATAAATTTTGTGATGCTTATACCAAATTGTACTACAATAATGATCTCCTCTGAATGGCAGCAATCGCACGTTTCCATTCGAAGAGGTGCAATGCTCCTTGGTCACACCAACAAAGGCAGAAAGCTAACTCAGCGGGCAACACCCAAATAATACAACTTTTAACAATTAACTGTTCTGGAACAAGCTTTAAGCAAACTATATCAACAAAACCTGTTTAAAGAAAAAGAGGTAAACTGAAAAAGCGTAAAATTGCTTTCTAATTTCTGAATGGGATCACGGGAAACTCATTTGCTGGAAACCAGCTTTCAGGGTGGGTGTAGAGCCTGTTAGTGAAGCCAGGTCTGTAGGTAGCATGCTCTGGCTTTCAAGTTCAGCCTCACCGGTGAAGGAACAAGACAGAAGCACCTTCTCTCAGAAAGTCTGCCAGACACTAGCTTCAAGCAAACATCAACCCCCAAAACCTCAGTTGGCAAAGCTCCAGGACAAAAACTAGAACACTGTAAAAAAAAAATTGCAAGCATAACAGGTTGGGATAAGTAATCAAAAAGCTGCCTTAATGCTTCAACTCTTGAAATAATTTCCTGAATTAAATCCGTTAACTGATCAAATTATTTTAACAAGTGTTTTGAGTATCATAACCTGGAGCAGCAAGTGTCAACCTCACATCACAAAGCTTGAGTTTACAAGTGCTAGTCACAAAATAACAAGTCTTCAAAGTTACAAGTGCAACTAACTGATGACTCAGAAAAGCTAAAAATAGGGAGGAAAAAACCAGAAGAAAACACAATACAGTTAAGAGTTACTGACTCAAAACAGAGCATTTCAAACCAAGCCTGGATATATAAAGCTAGGCAGAGATTCAGACTACAACATGACCTTTTTTCTTTAGGCTACGCCTCGAATAGGGTATCTCAAAAGACACTGTGATCTTTGTACACCAATGCACAGGTAGGAAGCTCATCTCTGAGCAGGACTTCATCGCTTTCAGCCCCTGTGGGTTGCTGCTTCTTCTTGGAGTGGCCTTAACTAGCCAACGGTGTCAGACAGGCAGTTTCACAGCCCTAGAGCAGTGGGTAGTGAGCGGACAGAACTCTTATGGCAAAGCACTCCCTATTTAACTGCGCACTACGTCACACACAATTGCACCACCTCTTAAAAGCTATCATCAGTTCATAAAAGCTCAGTGTGTTTTGCCTGTCAACAAGAACAGTAATCAATCAGAAATGTATGCAGCAAAGCTGTCCTGTAGAGCATGTTTTCTGCTTGTACAGCCCTTAGCTATAACTTTCTAAAATTGTCCTGGTTTTGCTAAATTCGCGTACTGTGAATTCTGAAAGTTTTAGTCAAATACTGTTTGTAGAAAACTGCCCATAAAACACATGACAATAATTCAGAATGGGATCCACCAGAAACTCTCAACAGTGAGAAGCAATGAGAAGAATGAAACCTCAATCAAGACTGTACCCCAGCTGGGAGCAAGAGCAAGACAAGGCACTTTGTAAGAGTCCTTTCAGCACTTATGCCCATTAGGTGGTGTAGAAAAATGGAAATTCTTTGTCAACTTCCTGCCACGAGAACCAAGGATAAGAGAGGCAAGGCTGCAATCGATACTGGGAGCTTAGCAAACATCAAGATGGCAAAGTCAATGGGTAATGCAGCCCTTCAGAAATCTCTAATAAAGCTTGGAGACTCCATTTACTAAAGGAACAGAAATACAATTTTGTCTTCTTAAGTCACTGATGTACACAAGTCTTGGCCTAGACACTAGGTTTTGCTTGATTGCCCAAACTTGCAAACCCTGTTAGGGCAGCATGCACGGTTCTGTGTTGCAGCTCAGTGGTCACTTGGTTGACACACTACAGTTCACCAACAGTTCACACCAGAGGGTTTTTATACAGGTTCCTCATGGGCCATTCCACAACAGCCGAAGAAACTAGTGAGCTGTAAAGAGAACACTAATGAAGAGATGCTGGACCTCCACACACTCAGACTGCGAAATTTCTTACAGAAGTAGCCCAATGTTAGCCGTTTCTGTAATTACTACTCCACATAAGGCAATTTATGGAGCCTTTACTAGTATTTTTCCAGTTATGCATGAAAAGAGACACACCCTAAACAACTGCATACAGAAGACTGCGTCTAGCATGTTCTATACAGCAAATCAAAGCACAGACTAGACAGCCAACATGCTGCCTTGAACCAAAACAGATTTCGGGCTTGTGATTTCCCCTTTACTGCAGAACAATGCATAAGTCAGCAGTGCTGGAAATTCTATTTCTTACAAACAGCTTGGGGAAAAAACACCTTACCTTTTGCTGTCCCTGTACGGATGTGCTGTGATGCTGCAACTCTAACTCCATTAGTCCTGTCATTCAACCGGCAGTCAGTTTTCTTTGCTTTCTCCCTGTGTGAATAATTTTCAGGGGTTTTTCTCCAAATGCATGGGCACAAATAACCAACCATGAATAAAAATACAATGCCACTGTAAACAAGGGCACTGACCCCAGGCCAGAAATGTATATTTAATAGCTATAACAACAAATGTAGATAATAAACAAATAGGTAAAGGCTGTTAGTGCAATATAGCAGGAACTAAACTGCAAGTAGTGTTACTAAACACTATGAATAAAGATCTAAAAAAGAAAACACAAAAAAAGAAACAGGGCAGCTGATTCTAAAATGGTCTTTGAAAGCTGTTGTGTGTGACCCAGCCTTACATAAAAGCATCTGGCTACAGAGTAACAAAATGACGGAAAGTCAACTTGGAAGCAGGCAGAGTATTGGATAAGGGTGGAAATGTTTTCCTTTCCTCACAGTGCAGGACTGCCTACCCCACAGGAAGTTCTGAAGCCCTCTGATGTGCAAATTATCTTCAATAAAACACTTCAGCAAGTTACCACCCACTGGCTAATGTTAAAGGTTGCTGCCAATTCTTACTTGATTTTCAGTGTTTTCTGGACAGCTTTACACCTTTTAACTTCCAAATAAATATAAAGAGGGAAAAGGCAATTCAATATTGGTTAAGAACTTACTTCTGTTCCTTCATCTTTTTGCTAAATTACAACTGACGTTTTGAGAAATAAATGCATACAATTACATTCTATTTTTCAAGTTACTTATTTTCAAAAGATAACATAAGGATTTTTATGTAGACTGACTTCACACTATATCAGCTCTGGCTCCACAATAGCAAAACAAAGCAACTAATTGATTGTACTGTTTATCAGAGTGAATGCTTTGTTTCACTTCACTTCTGGACTACTGGGTACATGGAAACCTACTTTTCCAGCTGTGGCTTTCCTTTCTTCTTGGTTACTGTAGACAGACTTCGTTTTTCTGTTGTATGCTAGACAGAAAACACAAAAACACCAGTCAAACAACAGAATTTTTATCACAAAATCCAACCAAAAAAGCCCTTCTAGACTAACAGGTCCGTGAGTCCAAGACGAGCGCGCTCACAGATGCCATAACCATGCAAACAACTACTGGTGTGGTGCATCCAGGCCTTTAGAACAATGCATCTTGTCTTGTGTTTATGCCATTATCAGCAAAACACTCAGCAAATTACTACTTGCAAATATTCAAGATCGATCAAAAGACATCAAGCAAATTGATGTTTGCATGCTGTCTTCCCTCTTGAGGATAAAAACAAATGTTTCATCACATATCCACTAAAAAAATGAGTCACAAGGCTTAAGGGGCTACAGAATTTAGTGATTTAAGCAGAGTTATTTGATGGTTGGAGGGTGGGAAGTACACGCAGCAAATTATTTTTACATAGCAATAAAACAGGTACCCAGCCTTGAACTGGAGGTTGCTGCTAAACTAAACTCTAGAATACAACCTAGAACGTGTACGAACAAACAAAACATCTGCATAATTGTTTAAGTATACTACTAATAGCTGTACTAGTATACTATTAATATCTCATATTGGGCACAGGATTAAAATTTATGAAAACTCAGAAATAGTCTCTGTCCAAATATGCTGTATTTGGACATCCTTTAAACAGGAAGTAGCTTTTCCTCTGCGTTACTATTTTCTTTTTCTTGCCTCAAGCTTGCAATAGGTAGACTGCATCAAAGCTTGAACATTTCACCTGTAGAAGCAAATCTCAGTTCACTACCCTGCTTTGTGAAACAAGGAAACTGGTTTGTTTGGCTTGCTATTCCCCACATAATAATCAATAGCCAAATTCTGCACGTAGAGTAAGAGTAATATTAAGCAATTCTAACATTCAAGGTTTTTCAGATCTAAGCAGTGAGCAGCCTTCCTTACCCTGATTTCAGTAAATGATTTTATGTGTAATTATTCTTCTGAACTATACTCACACCAAAATCAACCACTGAAGAGATAAATATCACAAAAATTGTATATGCATCTAGCTATTAACATTTTCAATAAATATTAATACTTAAGTTACTTAGATAATGCAGGTAAGATGGAATATGTTTCACCTGTTGTCCCTACTGTTGCATTAATATGGTTTAGTTATTAATACAGCTCCTACGTTGTTCCTTGCAAGAAAATAGAAATTCCTTAGGTGTTCCGAAATTCTCTCTGATGACAATATGTTAGAGTAACAGGAAAGTGTCTGATTAGAAATGAACATTAAACTTTTCTGATTACTTGTATCCTACTGGGAAACTTTATTTACAAATTCATGAACAAAATACGCAACTTTATGAGGCACTGGCAAGAGAATTTTTCTAATGAAGGTAAGTCACTAGCAACTTGAACTTCGACACTTATTTGTACAATTTTAGCAGGGCTCAATCTTTTCAAGCCAAATCTAATCATGTGTAGTAGACAGTCTTCTCAAGTGTCTCAGAATATTGCTTTAGAGAAAAAACAGCAACACACCTGGTCAAGTCGGTTTGTACAGTGCTCTGGGTGCTGCTGGACAATACAGCTTTTTCTTCTCCAGTCCATTACTCCATTTTGCTCAGAGTGCTGTATGTTAAGGCTATCCAGTGAAGAACATTTTGCACTACTAGTGCTGCTGAAAAGAAAAAAAACAAAAGCTAGGCCGATGTGAACAAACTTGCAGGCTTTTCTTACTAACATACACATTTTTGCATCTTGTTGGGAAACTGGTATTTTGCTTTCAGAAAACCCTAGAAATTCTCAAAAGATTTAAAAGAAGTAAATTACAGGAGTTCTTGTCCTCTAAAGTTATACTAATGATCTGAACATAACTGGAGTTCCTTTTTCATTTGTCCACTATAATTTGATGGGAAATTCAGAACAGAATTTGTAGAAAACAGTACTTGAGAGAAGAGTTTCCATGGATATTTCTGCACACAAAGTCTTTTTGTTTGCTTTGTTCATACCAGGCGTGGGGAAATTTTCCAGATAGAAATGTATTCTGAATGCATCTTCTTTCTTCCTTATCATTAATGACAAAGCTGGAATTACTTTGTAATCCCCATTTCAGAATTCATGAGACACTTCAGAAAAGGAACGCATGGCTACTTACAGATCATACTGCAGCTGTGTTTGTCTGAATTTCAAAATAGTCATCTTGCTTTATATTTTTACCTTCAGGATTGCTAGTTTTGAGTAGTGCTCGGAAACCAGGATTGCTAGTTTTGAGCAGTGCTGGGAAAGGGGAGTTGCATTTGGCATTTCCGTTGGACCTTATAATGCCTTCCACTGAAGCTTCTCTTTACAGCAGCCAGTCAGAAGCAATATTTAACTAGGTCTGGGAGCACTGGTCAACAAAGACTGCTGGAAAAACAGTCAGGGATCTGACAGAGTCAGTAAGTCACACGGACCTATAAACTTTTCATCTGTAGTACCAAACCATGCCCTACTACTGACTGGAAGCCAAAAAAAAAAAAAAAAAAAGGGGTATTCTGCTGATAATTGAAAGTGTCTTTTAAGTCAGGGCTCTTGGCAAGCTGCTTCATGAAGCTTACTGCAATATGAAATGCTACTCAGACATGCTGAAGTTCCAGTAGCTACCCACCAAATACCTCTGGAAGTAAGTGCTCATACTACTTAAAAGATCTACAATTGAATATTAAAAAAATAGTTTAAGAAAATGGTGAGAACCCAGAAATGTCCCAAATACAGACATGAGCCCATGACTGCAGATATATAAGCAATGTCAATTTATAAACTTCTGCCGAATGGAGTTAAGTGAATCCGCTGCCAAATTTGCAGTCATTTCACGTACGCTGTGATACTACTAAATTTTTTATTTCATGTGTCCAGTCTCATTCCTACCAGTAAATTTCAAGGGTAAGGCTGCCACACTGAATAAAAACAAAAGGTAGGCAGATGTAACGTACAAACTTTCTTAAAATGTACCATTGCTATTTGAGATGAACTATTTTGACGCTAGACAGTTTTATAAAGATTTAAAAGAGAAATTTTCATTCAGTGCCATTCCTTTAGAACTCATAAATAGCAGGCACAGATTTTAAGGAGACACACACATAACATGAATATGAGAGGACTAACAGACCTCTAGCAGTCACGTAGGAAACACATTTTTCCCTCTTAAACAAACAGAAAATAATAGCTAGCAAAATGAGTTTCTGTCCCAGAAGTTTGTGGAAAGCTTGTCCCTGTCTTTCCTACCCAAAAGATAGATCCTACAGTCAGCTTTAGTATACTTTGTTATACAATCAATAAGAAAAAGACCATTTCTTTGATTAGTAACTATACGCCAGTAAGTGGGGATGCTGCTCTTATGACTTCACAGCAGGCTGTATATCCACTGGTATAATCAGAGATTTTGTCAAGATGACATTCTCCTCCTGAAGTGATGTAAGTAAGAGGGTCAAAAAACCAAAACAAACCACTAAGTTGTCCAATTGGTAATTTCACAAGAATCTTGTCTGTTAAAGATCTGTGAACCTTAACCAACATTGCTTTGTGCTATGTTTACATTCTGATTATTGTAATTCCAGGTAATTCTAACTCTCCCCTCCAAGATAAATACATTTTACAGACAAAACAACATAACAAAACTGTAAAACACAATGAATTCTGTATCCATTTTTTCTCTTAATATAGTTGAAGTATTGCGCTACTACGTGCAAACATATCCAAAGTTTCTGGTCAAAATACATTAATGGGTGAATTCACGTTACATACTTCATGTATCTGAAAGCATATACTTTAATACGGTTAAGAAATGCTCCCGCTTACAACAGACATAAACCAGCTAGGTACACATGCTTTTGCTACTAAGCAAGGGAAAGAAAGGACTACCTTCTCCTATAAGATCATCTTTGAAGCTACTGAAGAAAAGCTTAAAATCAACGGAACTGGAAATTTTCAGTACATGCATGGGTGTGTGTGCATATGGGAAAAATACAAGCAGCAAAAATTTATGTTACTCAGCTTATAAACACAAATCAAAACATCAACTCAGGTAGTGAAGATTCACAAAATTTGGGAAAGAAGAGAGTTCTAAATGATGACGTAGGCCTATAGATTTAGAAATAGGATCTTTTGAAATATTTTCCTATTACAGATTAAGTTAATAACGCCCCTCCAAACAACAAAAAGTAAAACAAGAACACCTCACCCCAACCAAACAAAAACCCCAGAAACAAGTTTTAATCTAGAAGGAAACACACACTCTCAAAATACTAACAAATGAAGCTCACAATACATCCTAGTACCTACTTGGCAACGGGACTTTTTCCATTATGTTTCTTGTGAACTGCTGAGTGTTGCATTACATCTGGAAAAAAAATAAACAAAGCATAATTTCTATAGCAATTCCTACTTCCTCTTTTAGATCAACCCAACAAATTTATCTTTCCATCACTACCAGACGCTTAGCAGAAGACATCTCTGTGAAACAGGCTAGTCTTACAGCGCTGAGATAAACAGGTGCGACAGACCAGTTTGTGCAGACAGTATAATCAAGACTCTGTACCTTCCATTCCACAGGAGAATGGAACAGAAAAATATGAACCGTAACAGCCGTTTATGTTTGCTCACCTCTGTATTTAATCTTAAGGACTAAATGCATGACTGAGTATCACCCAGTATGAAAGGACGGAGAGGGACGAAAGCATGCAGCCAGAAAGTACATAATTTTGTGATTTTTATCTGAACTGCTGAAATTAATCTCAAAACTATGTCACACATGCCAAATAGCAAATTAAGACAAGTCTTACACAGAAGTATTGCATTCTGAAGCTCAAAATTCATTTTGCAAGTAAAGATTTACAAATTACATTTGACATAAAAAGAGATACTGCCTCAAACAAGAAACAAGAACTTTATAGAGACATGTTCTACCCTTTGAGGCAACTGTTAAATTTTAGCAAAAGCAACTTTTCTTAATTCCAGCTGTTGATGATCTTAGCCTTCCTGGTAGCTATCGTTTTGCCTGAACTCCTCTCAATGCTACACATAAGTCCAAATTATGATTTGGGAGGGAAAAAAAAAAATTCACAACGGCACAAAATGTGTTCTGAAATGCATTTGTAGTTTCATCAGGTGAACAGATTTGGGTTTTTTTAAGGACAGTATATAAAACACTATTGGAGCAATTTCCAAACATATTGTCTATTTACTTGATGAGTTCTGAACTGAAGAATATGGTAATGATTTTTTTTAAATAAGAAGAAGCTGTCTGAACTACATATGTGGATTACTGATTGCACATCAGATCAACCGCAAGCTTCTTATCAACGTGTGACAGGATAAGAGTGGTGTCATTCTGTGAAAACTATTGTAGGTGTTCAGTGGTCCTTGGTCACCTCTCAGTTCCATTTCTCATCCTTCCCACCTACCAGAAGCTTATACTTGTCTGCTGCTGAAAACAATGCAAAACTGGCTTGCCTTTCCTTTCCAAATGAAATGACTGACCAGCCACTAGGCTGCTGCTTCCACATGTGAACTGTTCTTGAGGTATTTGGAGAACACCAGCTTTCAGACTGTAATCAATACTCACTACAGTCCCAAACAGTCCTTATTAGCAGTCCAGAGTATAAAAGCAGCGTAAGTTAAGAATAAGAAGACGGAAACTTCAACATCCTTTCTGTGTGAAACTAAAGGCTAAAGAAATTTGGCAAATTTAATGCAAAACAGTCTGCAACTCTTGAAATGCTGCACTCAGCTTGTAACCCTGGTAACTGAAGAATAGGTAAAGGCATGAAAAGCTGCAAACAATCTTGGCTCAAGTAAATTGTAAAGTTTATCTCCCTGGTTGCTCAACACAGCTGTGAACTTCTGCCTCCAAGCTGTCTGCGAACACTCCCACTCCTTGAATTATACAGCAACCTCCTACGGAAACTGCTGAAAGTATACAAAAATTCTTCGTTTGCATAGCAGATTTCATTCAAATCTCTCAGCTTTGTACCAATGAAAAATCAATCAACTGCATGATTTCCAGAACTGAGTGTGGCACAGTTTCTCAGAGAACCACCACCTTTGAGTACACAACTACCTTCCTCCTGACTTGAAGCTTCTGAACTGTCCTCCTTGAAGTGTTCTGGTGCCTTAACCATCTTCAAAGAGGGTTGTAAGTTACCTGCAGAGAATAAAGTTCACGTAGTAACTTTATAGATCTTGAACAGCTGGACAGTTCCTGAACGCTTGCACTAAACTGGAAGCTAGGGAAATGGGAGACTGAACTTACTGGTTTGCATGTGGCAATAATTTAAACATCGTCTCCTTCAAAGCAGACCATCTCCAAGAGTAAAGGCTCTATGGAGATACTTTTATCTTGAAAAGAGTGTGCAAAACAATTTTAAAGCTATTTCAAAAGGCTGGGATTGTGATTCTAGCATGAAAAATATTCCCATTATCATGCACTTCAGATTTTTTTTTTTATAATCTTTTTTGTGTTACAGCAGGAAATCGGAAGGAGACCAACGACAGTTTCTAGAATTCTTCCACAAGTTACACTCCTCAACTGTCAAATCATTCACGTGCCAAGAGAGACCTAATCTGGGTTCAAGTCTTCTAGTGCCCTCAACACAGTCTTCATGCACAATTTTTGCCTTTTTATGCCAGACGGGATGTAAAAAGAAGTGACAGTAATATTTACAGTTTTGTCACAAAAATACCACTGCCATGCTCTGAAAAAGGACTAAAATTGGTAATGAATCTACCTATAGTCATCTGCTCTTTTCCTCCCATAAAGTTCCAAGTTAGTGCAGGTAAAAACGTCTGAAAGCTGTTGCTTAGGAGCCTGAAACTCTGACAGGAAGATCCTTCTGAATACTGTCTGCATCGAACACACGAAGCGCCCACAGATCACGGTCTAATAAAGTCTGTTGGAATTAAAAGTCTACTCCAGCCTGAAAAAGTGTCTAAAATAACGGCTATAATGAACCAGGAGGGAGATAATTGATTTCCTCCTTAATGGAACCACAGCAGCATAATTACGCTTACTGAATATATTCTTCAGTGTGAGATTCCAACTATTATTTGAGGTATAAAGACCCTTCACTGAACAAAGAATTTATTTCCACATAGGTTTTACTAGAACCATACCCTTTAAAATGAGTGAATGTTTTTGTATTTCTGTGAAGAGACATTTTTATCCCTAAATCTAAATAGCAACCGAAGCCAAATTTAAGCCACAACTCCTTTCTCTGCCAGTTAATTCTGCACAACCATTTGAGAGCTATGATGAGATTTTGCTTAAAGATATGTTTCCCCCTCTCCCCCCACACTGTCATCACATGCAAAATATGCCACCATGGGCTAACTCACAACTGCAAGTATTACCAGGATTTCAGGAATCCCAAACAGGAAACCTAGAAAAACACAGAGGCCACCTGTGCTATGCTACCCCAGACAACTCATCCAGTTCCCTTTCTCGAAAGAAAAGCAACTACGCTTAGATTTATCGCGCTATTTGTCTTCATCAGACTTTTTCTTAATATTTAACTCAATGTCAGGGCTCTGAAACACCCCAATGGGCTTTGCAGCCTCTTCCCCTGCCCTCCCAAGGGCTTCGCCTGCCTGTGCTCAAGACCCGATCTGATACAGCGCAGTTTTGCAATTTTGGGTGAGACTGCTGGGAAAAGAACTGGCAGAGGCCTCATTCGGGGCCTCCATCCTTTGGCCTAGGAGCTGCATTTGAGCTCCAGTCCTCGCCTGGAGTGCACTGCAGCCGTGCTCGTCCCTGGCCAAGTACCTCACTGATCCTGTTCTTAACCCTGACCTACTGACTTGGTTTTCTGCCTTGACCTCAGACCTGTCTCACTGCTTTGGATTTGTCTGGTAATCACCAGATTCTTGCCTGCCCCTGGTCCTAATCTTTCTCACAGCAAGTTAAACTCAGTGCTTTCTGTCCTATCCATCAGAGAGAACAGATCATCCTCTTTACGTTATGATTCTCTGGTATTTGAAGACTTCAGTCATATTCCATTGGAGTTTTTCCCTCTTCTCTGCTAAACAATTAAGTTCCTCACCCTACCTGTCATGCATTGTAGATCTGACAAATCCTCACGATCTTTCATGTACCCAATTATTTATTTATTATTATAGAAGTTATCTCCCATTTATGATCACATTATAATCTGTAAGACTTCCTGCAGAACTGACATTTGTCCATTTTACCCTTCTGATCTACCTGCCCTGCAGATCATTGCTGCCCTGAACTAACCCAGTCAAGTCTCTGGTTCTTTTTCAGACCATTTCAAATTATAATCACTTCCCACCTAGATGCAGTGTACAGACTAAAAGATGGATACACTGCGCAGCGTGCCTACCATGAACATGAATCTTTCTGGACTTTGGAAACTCTTCCCTCCCCATGCAGCCTTTCAGTACAACAGTTGTCAGAATTTTTACAGCAGTAAATTCTAGCCAGTTTCACAACCATCCTGGACCTCATTAGCTTAACATTTTCACAAACCTAGCACATAAGAATGTTTTAAGTGTTAATAAAAAGTCACAAAATGACCTACAGCTTCTACCCTAATCACAATGCCTTTACCCCACCACATGAACACATTTGTCACAGATCACACACATCATTTGAAATTCAAGTCAGCTGTCATGTTTCTACTTTCTTCCAAGTGCGTGCGAGAAGTCTGTATGAAAACTCCAACTTATTCAACTCCTTACTAAGATTATCTGCAACTTCTGAGGCAGTGGCCTCACAGTCAGTACCTTGACTGCCATGGTGTATAACATGCACTGAAAGAGGAAAAGACTCAACAGAAGCAAAGATCACATCCATACAGAGAAGCTAAGCTCAGGTCGCACAATCTGTAACGCGCAAGTAGGTAAGGGGTCCACCAAGCAAATCTCTGTAATGCAAATGCTCTGAACAAGAGCCTGTATGTTCTGAAATCAGGGCCATCCCATCATTTATGTACTATGTACCCAAAATGAATCTTAGTTTAAATACCAAGACAAATGCTTCATCTACAAAAGAAACAAAAAACAGATGTCACTTTTTGGGTCAGCTCAAGCTTTTTGTTCCAAAGTTTAACAGAGTTTAACAAAGTTTCTTAAAAGGAAAAAGTCCCAAACTGTTGTACATACTCAATTCATAATTATCTATTTTAATAGCGTGATGGTACAGAGAAGAAAGAAAGAACACAACCTGATGCTACACAGCATGTTCCCACTGTCAAAAACATGAGTATCTGCTGAAGCAACTATTCATTGGCAGGGAGTTCCAATATGACCAGTGGAAAACAATGTAACATGAATACATAATTATAAAACTGTAATTAGGCACGACAGGAAGAACAGCTTTTTACAGACTTTTTGTTACATAAAACGGAATTAGGATATTTCTTACTGTGAGTGTGCAAAGATTCCGATGAAATTGATTGGAAGAAGTTGTATACTCTCTGATTCTGCAGAAAAGCTTGCGATGTATTTGAAAATAGCTGCCTGAAATTTAAGTGAGAGTTTGTTAAACTGTAGATACTATTCCATAGAAAGAATACAAGAATTTACTATAGTACCATTTAAGAGGAAAGAAGGCAGTTCTTAAGAAGTCCAAACACTTCAAATCGCATGTTCAGCATAAATAATGTTCAATGCTACTTTTGAGCTTTGTTGTTCAGTGCCAGTGCAAGGTCTGAGTACAGGCAGTACAAGAAATTGGTATGATGAATTTTTTTTAATTTAAAAAGTATGTGCTTTTTGAGCCACCCCAATTCAAACATTTTAGCCATCTGTAACATTTTATTAAAGAGGAGTTTGGACTGAGTCAAAAAGCACTGGACTTTACATCTTAACTTTTTGTTTTTTTTAAAGCTGAGACCACATTTAATTTCCCAAAACAATGCGTATCTTCCTTAAACACACTTTTTTGATTAAATACAAAATTGAAGTCACCTATAATGTCAGTATTTGAGTTTCATAATCATCTCCAAGAGCAAAGGGTGAGATTCTCAATATTGCTCTGCACTGGTCTGAGTCTGTTCCCAAGAGGTCAGTGACAAATTCTATTAGCTTCAGATAAGAAACCAGGCCAACACTGAATGGTTTTTAAATCCCACACCAAGTTTTCAGTTCTTGCTTGCCAGGAAGCATTACCCAGCTCTATTTTTGTTGAGGAGAGGCAGGGGAGAGCAATTTTTGGCAAATGGGCACATACTTAAGACCACCAAATAAGTATATATTTATGCTAAACTGACACTGTAAGAAAACAAAATTTGTACACAGGAATGCTGTTCTCACAAGGTTATTCATGTAGCATTCCAGTACAGCCACAACCTAACTTGCAAATTGTAATTATAGTTCCACACTGTAACATAGTTGGACATGTCCAAAGGTTATCCTCAAACTGAACCTCTTGGGTTTGTAGTTACTGTGCAGTGAGGCTTCAAAACCTTTTGTATTACAGTATGTTCTCTTCAGTCAACCTCTATTTAAAAAGTTTGTTCATTTAAAACCAGAATGTTTATTAGCCAAAACTGCTTGTGCAGATTTAATTTCCGGCTTCACAATCCAGCCAACAAGGACTGACAAATAACATTAGAGATCAAAACAAAACAAAATTGGGAAGGGGGAGGTTGAGGCACACAGCAGCTCCATACCTTCTTTAGCTAAGCTACTGAAACCCAAAGATCCAATATGCTTGGACCCACAGTACGTTCTGAGCAGGGGCTTGAAAAGCAGTGCCTGATTCTTCAACAAGTACCCTAACTCAGGAGACACTGCCTAACCTGATAAATAATTTCAGTTATTTTGAACAAGGTTGAACAACCCTGACAGAAAAGAACAAATGTATCCAGGTATCTGCAGCAAACAAAAAGAACAGGGAGGCACACCCAAATTCATATTGCTGTTCTGAGTTACAGGATTTGACCAACAACGTCCCACATCCCAGCAAGCACTCCCATCACTAAATAGTATGTTATGAGGTCTGGGCCATTTTCTTACAAACATGTGAGCTAGATTTAATTTTATATAATGCTTCACTATTACTGTTTATTCTTCTTGAATTCACGTTCTGTCTCTCACTCTATCCTGTCATAAAATTAGAACATATCCACTCCGTGTTACTGTTCCCAGTATTTCTAAATATACCCTTGTATAATAGAGGCAAGACCCTTGCTGAAGTGCCAGTCATTGCTGTATAATGCTCCTCAGGACAAATATTTTCATAATTGTATGATTACTTCTACAGAAGTAATCCATTAAAATTCAAAATGAGTCTCAATTTAAAACAAAACCAAAAAAACCAGAAAAAGAGTCAGGAGTATCTATTTCATTACTACCTTCCCATTTTCTTCTCAAATTGTGTTTAGGCAGCAGAACTTCCACTGCCCCTAAGGGTTAACTAGTTTGACTTCAATCACTTTTCAGGTAACGCATTTCAGGTTATTTGCTAAAATATTTACCTGATTATGGGCTCAAGATCAGCATGCCTTCGTTCTTCCCTCTTCTGAAAGCCCTGATTTAGTGCTCTTAAAATAGTCTTGTCAAACGCTTCAGAAGACAGTTCCTTTGGGAGCTGAGAAAAAGGTTAACATGAAAAATGAGTAGTTGACATTTTAAAGACTACAGTTGTTCACCATCAGTCTTTATACCTCTTGGTGTATCAACCAGAAACTCTATTGTTCCAGTTTCAGTAAGGTAATTTACTGATTAAAGGTACAACAAATCATCATAATTTAATTTTGCTAGAGAAACGCTTTGCTGTAAATCCTCACATCAAATCCAGGTGTAAGATCATTTAAAGCTCTATTTAAAGGAGCTACAATCAGAAATTTACCAATACTGTGCTTTTTTCCAGAGTAATTTACAGTCTTTTTCAGTTTATTTCTTTAAATCTTTCACACAGAGAAAGCAGGTCTGAAAATAACATTAAAAAAATACCAGGGAGGACTGAAGGCAGTGTACTCACTATCATCACTTGGTTAAATTCTTTCAAAGAAATAGGAGTAGAAAGGACACAGTTTCAGTTATATAATACATTAGACTTCAGTGAGCAATATTGAGATTAATTAATAGCAAGTCCTTCTCCCATTGCTATTAACACTGAAACTTATGAAAATTCATCATAACTGTTTACAATGCCAGCATTACAAAGCGAGGTCTTCTGATGTTCTAGTTCAGAAGACAACATTCTTGCTAAAAAGCATGTCTATTTTAAATGAAAAATATTCCCCAGAACAAAGGGTTTTCATAATTACAACTTCCAGAATAACATACTAAGTACATTAAAGCTGATCAAACTTGTTAAGCTATATTAAAAAAAATTATTTTAATTTTGGGGCAATTCAAAGTAAACTGCCATTGCAAAAATGCTTTTTCCTAAAGTTAAAAGCTATTGCTAATCCGGTTAACACCTGCCATCAGTTATGATAAACAGCACTAAGCAATTTACACTAGAGCAGCATCTTTCTCTTGCATATCTGGAACACACCCCATCCAGAGCACCAGCTGGATACTACATCGTGCTAGTGGTACAACAGCACAGCTCTAAGTAATTCTTTCACTGAATGAAGTGCTGCTAACAGAGAGACACTATGGCTATGTAGATAATTGCTTGGTAACCAAGCTAAAAGGAACTTCTGGAATCCAGGCAGGCAGGTGCTGTTAGTATTAGATTAGTATCGTGCTATAGTACCTGAACTGTATTAGATACTTCTTACAAGCAAGAAGTGCTGAAAGCAGCTGCTTTTAACTGACCCCTTTGGCTTTAGTATGCGCTATGGAGGAACTCTGACTAGAGAGTTAGTCAGTATTCACCAAAAGATACCAAAAAGCTACTGCAGAAGCAAGTGGATGAGCAAATCTCCTTGCCTGGTGTTTTGTATTTAAATTTGTCTCCAGAAACAGCCACAACTTTTTTTTTTTTTCTTTAAAACCTTCATTAAAAGGAATTCAATTCCTTCTGTAATTAAGGATTCGGTTATATGAACTCAAGATTAGGTGCTTATCTTAACTTCAGGTAATGAGACAGCCTTGCTGCTTACAATCTTCTTAGTCCTTCCACATATATGGGTAATTTCCTACATGTGAAGAGCTTTTTATTCTTATCACCTAAGAGAAGGTGCTCTTTAAATATAAAGCATCCAAGTTATCCCAGTTACTACCTTAGCCTTTCCCACTGATGCTTCTGTTCTGACACAATTTTTACAGTTATCTTACTCCTGTCACCCACAACCTTGGAATTTCCTATCAAGTATTTTGACCACCCTTTTCTGTCCCTAGGAAACTGAGTGTACCACTTAACAATGCCGTGTAGACTGGAAATAATAAAAAGCCAAAATGCAAGTGCCTATGAACTGGACAGCATTCATACTTCTATGGTGCTTTTTAAAGCAAGGTATAAGTTTTATCCTGCTTCATTTAACAATTCTTTCTTTCTTCTGTACTTACGGCTATCAAACCAACACAAACCAAACATTTTTCAGCTGTGCACATTATCCACAGAACACCTCAGCAAGCTCGTAGCAGCCTGCAGTTGTCCTCCTTTTCTCCTGCCATCTTCTATGTATCTGGACTCTGCTGGAGCAGTCAAGGCAGCACATGGAACATTCTGCATCTGGAGAGCTGCCATCAGGCAACCTGAACAGCTCTGCAACATTTTGGAGCCTGTTTTCCTGGCTCCTCCTCCTCCTGGCAGCAAGTAGATACTAGAGGGTCCGTTTCAGAAACTGGTGTTCGTCTCTGCTTTACAGGTAGGGGAACAGGAGGCATGAAGCGGAACGCCTGTCCCACAGCTGCATGGGATCCCGTATGACAGTCCTGCTTTTAAGGTTCTCTTCAGGAGCAGATGCATGTACCCTATCTTGTGGGACACCCCATCCGCAACCAGACATGCCATCCATAATCCAAATCCTCACAAATCAAGCTCTGGGAACTCCTGGAACTAGATATTCCAACTAGATTAAAGCAGCAGTGAATACTCGCTGCTTCATTTCTACAGTGCTGGCAAACGTAATGTTGATAACCGAAACAGTGAAGACGACAATGACCTTTGTTCGAGGTCATCACACTCATGAGGTCTACATGTGGCCCACACGCACAAATGCACTCCCTGCTTGGGGTGGGGAGGGGGGAGAACAACATAGAGAACTTACTTTTTTTAAACACATGCATGCATAAATAGTTGCTAGATTTTCCTCAAATTTAACTCCTTGAGAGAGTGAATATGCCTGCCTTTGTTCTACTGAAGAATACAACAGTAAAATTAAGAACTCCTTAATTAAAAACAACAAATGATACTCTTTAAGGTCATTCTAACAGGGACAGCAATAAGCAAAGGAGCAGTGCTTATATCTATATATTAACTCTGCGGGGAATACTAAAAACTTATCTGGTAGTTTCATGGTAGTTCAGCTAAAACTATAAGAGCAATTTCAGATTAGACAAACGATCTCCTCCTGTGAAACTCCCCAAACACTCTGTTTAGCTGCTTCATCTGTCAAGCTGCTCTACCACACAATACATGGATTTAAATGGTTAATACAGTTGTGAAGTACAAAAATCTGGGAGCATGCTTTTGTTTCTGTAATTACAGCCCTGAAATCACAGCTCTTCTAGACTACTTCTGAAGTTATAAACCTGATGTGTAAATATTTACATTTTAATACATACTTTTAGCAGGAATTCCTGAAGCTCCTGGTGTGTTTTTGTTACACATGTTACCGAAAGATCAGACCAGGTTACCTAGTAAGGAAAGAAAAGAGCATGAAGTTTCTTTTCCAAGTATCATACCAGTTAGCTGATCTTAACACTTCCATAAATCCCGTGATCTCAGTGTTAGAGTTAACACTTGCAGACAAGTAAATACCAAGCAAAACAGGGATAATGGTGCACTTTTTCAAAGAAGTACACTAATTTTGAGTGTACATTTTAAGATCATCTTCATGTTACTTGTGGCTAAAGGGAGTATGAATAAATTCAGGTGAATGCAACGAAGTCCCTGAAGATTACTGACTGACTGCCGCAGAAAGAAGCCAGGCAGAAGGCTCTGTAATTACAGGACTTGCATCAAACAGACATCATTAACTGCAAAGACCAGGTACCAGAGAAAAGGACTACAGGTCAGATATACTGGATTGAGTTCTCACTGTCATCGTCACGAGTCAAAACAAGAAAGAAAACAAACCAACCAACCTGTCTTCATTTATATTACCTATAAAATACTTTTATCTGCCTCAGGCTTGAAATTTACAGGGTCATATAGAAGTTGTTGCAGGGTACAATTCACAAAAAGTACTGCAAGTTACTAAAGAAGTTACTCAAGTATCAGACAGCATTTTGGTATACGCTTGTACAAAATTTTAGCAGCTTATTGCTCTGACACAACATGCAAGTAGTAAACCAGCACCTTCACATGCATATTTTGAGAAAAAAAAACAGAATTAAGCTTGGTTAGATGAGCGCTGCCTGGCTTTAAGCCCACTCCTGGGCTTAAGATTCCCATTACATGCATGGGAAGACTCTGTGTAATGGGAGTGGACATGGCAATTATAAACATTTATTTACTCCCAAGAGCTGACAGAATAATGTCACCACCAACCGCCTTCAGCTTAGTCCTGAGAAACGCCAACTACTGTTGGCCCCTCAGTTGGGAAGCCATAACTGTAATCGTTGTTATAACCTTAGAAAAGCAGTGTCTGGGCAAGCACAAAATGATCCGCAGTGAGGAACACAGCATATACCTGCACAGATGAGGAGAGGAAACTCTTTCCTAAAAGAACTGAAGTGCAGGAGTTTCAAGCTTACTCAAATACTTGCCAGAATATCTCCACATTCCCCCTTTAACAAAGAAATTCAAAACCACTGTCAAATCTGTCTACGTGCTGAATTTTCAAAATAGTTTTGTGACTTTAAATATTAATAATCCATTATGGGCATCCTACATAAACCTCTCCTACCTACCATTGTATTTTACCTAGTACTCAGCCTACAGATTATTCGGACAAAAGATCTATGACAAGGCTGAAATACTTGTGCAAGTTAACCTTTAAGACTCCGAAGGCTACATTCCACATTAAGGTCCTTAGCAAAAGGAGAGTGCAGAATTTCCTGCAAATTTAATCTTCAGACATGATCAACACGGTATCTGTTGCCACTACCTCACTTCAAAAACAGAAACAGTATACACGTCAATTTAACTCTAATTTTAAGCTTCTAGTAATACCAGAAAAGACAAAACTCTACCATTCATATCCATTTAGAGAATACAATATCAAACTTTGGGATCAACCCATCAGTTTTCAGCTCAAAGTGGCATTTTTTTTTAAGTTTGCCTCTTCAAAGAGCTCCCATGACTCATGTCAAATGGCCAGTTACAACACTTGATCTAAAACATTCTTTTGTTTGGGGAAAAAAGGTAAAATTTAACTCTATGTTCAAATCTGATATACTACAAGGCACACATCTGTTGGCCAAATGACTCATAACGTTAGTCAGTCCTTGCTAAGAAAATTACTACTTTGATTCAATTAGAACATTACCACTAATGGCCTTAACAGTTTTTATTTCACACCTACAGCCTTTAACACCTGATCTCAATATTGAAAGCTTCTCTTCCAAAGTAGTAAGCAGCAGTGTTTTGTTTAAAATTCACTCACATAATTGTTTTATATGTTGCCTCTGGCTGTTATAATACATGAAGTCTATACTGGGCAGGCCTTCAAGTTTGTTGACATTTTTTAGCTTGTTGGTTTTTAACTTAAACAAACCAACCAACTTGCAGTTTTGTCAAAAAACACAGGAGCCATCCTCTTATGGTAAACATTCATGAAAGAGATGACCATATGACTCCAAGTAATATCTAGCTGCAGACACAAGAACCTCCTATGCCGCTTGAGCAAACAGTCAACTAGCTTTAGGATTCTTGGTAACGCTTACCCCAAATTAGCAAAAGCCGAGTTTCCTGGAGTGATCTCACACATCCGGCTATGGCTGGTGTTTTACACTTTCCCACTTTATGCCCACAATTACATAAAACACCTGATAGGCCCACAGAATCCGAGAGAATTACAGGACAATTCCAAGAATCGCTGAAGAGCCTAATGTAATTCAAAATTGTCTTCTGAGCAGATATTTGAAATAAGCTGTACATATCTACAATACATAGATATAGTGAAGACAATTACTTTAATATTCTGGAGGTTACTTGCTTACTTTGAATGTGTACTCCAAATGTTTGTCAGCCCTTTTTCTTGGTACTCCTTTCAGGGTTATCTTGTCAATGTGTACGGCTGAAAGAAAAACACCTTATTGTACATGCCAAAATTACAGTTTGAAAATGCATCTACTTACCTAGCCACTCTGAGCATCACTGTATGCTATTTACTGACTCACGCAACCCCGCTATTTCTCAGATGCTATTTTACTATAACAAACTGCAGGGGGCAGGTGGAGCCTTGCTCTCTACAAAGTGCTTCTCTGGCCTGACCACAGCCCCTCATGGCAGGTAACAGGAATATGTGCATTACCCCGGAGCTTATTTAGACCGAAGGTCACATAAACACCACAATATAACCACTCTAAGTGAAAAGACAATAAAAAGAAGTCAGATTGCGTCTTTACTCCAAGAAGTAACAACAAACGCCGATAAAAGCCAGCGACAATGCCTTCCACATCCACATGTCTGAAACATCAAGTAGAAATGAGAGCAAACTAAGGCAGAAGAACCACATTTCTGAAAGGCACTGAGGTGGAAGGAAACACTGGGGGAAGGCCTGAAGGAGACAGAAATGAGCATTAGCAAACAGAAAATGAAGAGGAGAAGCAGAAGGCTACTACGATCCTACTGTAAAGAGTATCATTCAACTGAACTGAAAAGAAAGAAAGGCACTTTAAAGTACTTGCTACTTTAACATTCCTTTCCCCATAGTCTACTGTGTTCAGAAACAGTCAAGCTCTGGCTGTCACTTGGTAAGAAGCAGCACCGTATGACTTTCAGGGTCTGCAGATTTTCTTGAAGGCACATAACACTGTACAGGTAATACTCTATATAAAAATCTTTACATAGCTGAGATTGCCTTTTCATTTTTCCTGCTATGCTGGCCTAAGAAGTCAACATAATTTTATTCCAAGCGTGAACACATCTTTACATATAAAAAAAGTTATTAAAAACCAGTTTGACCAGCCCACACCATCAATGCTTCCTTTTCAATGCTTTTGAAACTTTCTTTTTTGGCGGGAGGGGGGGTTAACACTAATGTTTTCCTTCCATTTTTTAACTGCATGTTTACATGGGATATATTGGGAATGACTCACAACAATAATAAAAAAAATTAACCTCCTACAAGTGTACGTTACAAAGCTTATTCTTGCAGATTAGCTAATTACCGTTTCATCTACCTTAAACATCTTTAATTAATTTAGTTAAAGTTACAATTAAAGCATCATCCCCATAAAACATGCCAGTTCTAAGAGAACTAAGTATTAGCAATTTCCTTAAAGGAATAATAAGCCAGCATATAAGCCTAGTGGTAGTGTTACAGCTTCCAAATTTTTTAGTAGAAAGACTGACGAATACTGAGTGTGCCGGTGTACGCTGTCTGTAATCTTTTACCTGGCAGTTAGAGCACTAGACAATCAGTTAATTTTCATCAGTTAATGAAGATTAATTATTACAAGCAAAGAAATCTGAGATGAGCTAAGGATGCCAGACAATAACATACATGTATATCCCATGAAAAGACAAATGTTTAGTGACTTTTAATTTCTACCTGTCTCATATAGATAAAAGCACTGGCATAACATCAGCTTTGCTGCAGTAAAGTTTCTTAATGGCCAATGTTAAAACTGATACCATCAGCTGAGATGATACTCATAAGTTAATTAAAAAGTTGATTCCCATGTCTGGAACTGAGAATAGTGGTTTAAATTGCATTTCACTACATGCATATATTTAGCATACATAATTATGGAAACTAGCACCATTAACATTCACAGACAAGCTTCTTTTCTAATGAGATTGTGTTTATTTTAAACTTTTGAATGTTCTCAGTGCTAAATATATTTGTCCTCAAGTACAAAGAAATTTCATTACACAATGTAGTACCTTCAGCTTCCTTAACTTCTTTTTGTTGCTGTTGCATGCTTCATTGTAATAAATGATACAAGAGGTAATTACAGTTTTGTTCCTGCACAGCTGTAGTTCCACAGTTTCAACAGACTGCTTTAAAATTCCGATTCACAATCACATTTTAAATATTCTAAATGGCTAGATCGAGAAGAAATGTTTGAATATACAAGCCAATGAGGCGTGTAACATCTCTACATCTATTTTGGACACAACACATGCATTCAGGACCTTTAAGTCAAGCACATACACATGACACTGTTTCCATATTGAGTATAACTTATGATTTCTAAAGATCATATTAATCACAGCTAAGAATAAAAAAAACCATGTTTTATCATCAGTGCTATTTCTAACCCAGTAAGGAGATTTCTGTAGCTGAGACTCTCTTTCTATCACATAGCTATATAGCAAGTGCCATAAAATTATTCTGATCCTTCACCATAGTTTCTAACTATCATAAAATGAACGCTGAGAAATATTTAAGCTCTCTGCTAGATTAAATTATTCAACTTGTCTGTGATTCTGTTACTTTATTCAAGAGCATTGCTAAAGAGAGTCTTCCTTTTGTATTTCTAATTTGTGAATATGAACACTTTGAACTTTGTAAAAGGATTTGAAACAGGTTTGCTGTCTGTAATCAGCCATAATCTTTCTCTGTTTTTTATGCAAAGAATTAAAACTCTCAAACTGCCTGTCTTCAAAGTGTAATTAAATCTCCACAGTAGAGACAAAAGGACATTTATGAGGACAAAACGAATAGCAATAGCGAAGAGCTGGCAATCCGGGAAAACTGTCTGCAGGATAGCGTAGACTAATTTTGAGTAGACAAGTGATTTGCTAGTCTTGTTGAAGAATAAAGGGTAAGAATAAATCTGTTTTCAATAAAGCTTATTTCTTCAAAGAGAAAAAACTGTGCTGGCAATTGCACAGAAGAGTTCTGTTTACACTCTGAAGCCTTGTTCTCCTTCTCCCCAACAGAGCCAAATGACGACTTACTTCCGTGGAAAGCCTTTCACTTCTCCAAACTACCAATTCTATAAAACCTCCTAAAACGTGTTTTTTTCTTTGTTTGTTTTTTGAGACTAATCACATACAACTGAATCAAGCAGCAAAAGCTCTCCACTGTTTCACAGTATCTTCATGTTTAGTTTTGCTTCAAAAAATCAAAACACTGTTAATACAATTGCATTAAATTTTCTTGTTTTCTCCCAAATCCCTCCTCCTTCTTCAGGAGGAAGCCTATTTGCAACCAACTCTCATGCACGCAGTCACCAGTAGTTAGCAGCTAACAAGAATGACAACTTGTTATAATAAAGACAAGACCAAGTAGGCAGCAGAGAAGCTATTATACTCACCAATCACTGCAGTTTCTCATTCAGATGAACAGCAAGACAGATGCAAGATTTCCGCAACTCCAGGCAGATTTTAGCATTCAAGAAAAACTTAAAGTGTTCCTCAAAAGAAACCTCAGACAACATACCTTCTCGCTGAGGTCTATGGGAAGCCGTTGGTAATCCATCATGAGGTGCTGTGGTTCGTTCTAGGAAACTGGTCTCGTTACTTGACATGCAGTCACTACGGGAAAAGTCATTCTAAATTGAGAAGGAAAAAAAAGGAAGTGACTTCACAGAATGTATATTATCAAAGTTTGCTCTAAACAGCACAAATTAAAAAAAGAAAGTTCCTTGGTCAGTATTCTACAGGAGAAAAACCTGAACTTCTTGACAGTGGCAAAAAGGTAGTCATCAGCCACTTCAGTTCCTATTTGTTTATTAAATGTCAGCTATAACCTCCAACATTTCACTGATCTTGTTTTAAAAACAGAACAGGGTGAGGGACAGATCATGTGCCTTTAGGGTATCTCAGGCTGGATAATTCAAGATCATTAGCTTACAACTTCAGTGCTAATTTACTGTTAGTATGAACTCTTTCATTTACTAACCTGTGAAGTCATCTACTCACTACACTCTAAACACTTTCTCCTCAATTATATTCACGCCCTGTAACTTCAGCCTACCACCTCTTCTACACAGGAAGTCACGAAGAACTGTTTGGACAGTCTATCAGGACGTATGGTCCCAACAGCTAAACCCACACCCCTCTTACTAACCAAACCTTCAGAATGCAACCAAGTTGCCACCAACACCCTCTCTTCCATAGCGAAAAGCACAGACTGAAAGCTCACCTCCCCCCATATTTGCACAGATTTCAAAATTGTACGCCAAGAATTACTACTGTTTTAATACAGCACATAAGGAGGGACAGATCAGGAAATCATACAAGACAGATAACATGGACAGGTAAGAGAAGAAAGAAAGAACAAACCAGGCTAACAATGACAAACTAGAGAAAAGGATTAGACGAGCTTGGACTTCAAGTGGTTTTTCTAGGGTAACGAGAATGTAAATAATTCTTCCGAAATTAAGATAAAACTTTAATGTATCAATTTACATGTTTGTCAGTTACCAGATTGTGTTAAAAAACCAAACTGACGGAGCTAAAATTCAGAAATGTTTTAAAATGTCCAATGACTTTGGATGTAACTGGTTTTGCCAGCTGACCAGTGTAATTCCATGTTTCAAGCAAACAACGCATTGTCTTAAAAATATACATCCACGAAGAACTAGGAAATACTGGAAGCTACTAGTGAGTTTCTGATTAATCTGTCCTGAGGCACCTCTATTTAACTGTAACTAGTACAACATACGAGCTTAGCAAGTATTTAAGTGCTATCAATATGCAAATACCATATTGATAGCAGCAGCAGCACAGAGGGGGAGAGAAGGTCGTTCTCTGTGTAGCACCACAAATCAACCAAATACTGTTTTTATTAAGTAATAGAAGCTAAAACAGAGGGTAGGTTTCTTGGGAGAGCTTTCAAAAGAAGTTAAATAGAGGTTGTTCAATGCACCTCAAATATTTAGCAACTGGTGTGCATGAAAACTAGAAGGTAAATAAATATCTATCTTATTAGTAGCTCTATAAAACAAACAAAATTCCTGGGGGAAATGGATACTTTTTGGAGTAGATGTATATTGAAAGTTCAAAGTCTGTTCCTCTCATTCAGGATGAAGAACTTTGCTCCACTGAAAGACCTTCATAAAAGATTCGTAGACGAAAAATACAAATCTTCAGACAGTACTCTTATTTTTAAATATACAAAGCACAAGATTCTGGAAAGAAGTGCCAGAATATATGTGATTTTTTTTTTTTTCCCCTGAAGGACTTGTGCAACATGGTGGGCCAAACCAACAGCCAAGACTAGTTACCTTGTTTGGTACAGAGGACCCCAAGGCTGTCACAACAGGCAGACCAGAATGAGGAAGCACAGAGGTGTCAAAAGACATTGGAATCCCCTTGGAGTTTGTGAATTATTTGATGAATTTCTTCAGATTTGACAGATGTACCAACTAAAGCTTGCTTCATCTTACTAAACCACCTTTACATCATCTATAGCGTGGGTACAAACTGTGGCAACTCCTACCAATATATTCAACTCATTCAGGACCCAGTAAGTATACAGGCACCACGCCTGCCCTGGGCATACTGTTAATCTGACTTTCATCAGTTGCACCAACAGCAGCACACAACTAGCAAGCGAACATCTATGTGCCTTTAGACTGCACTACAGATGGTCTGAGGAACTGAACGACATTTAGCTGTTTCATCTAAACCAGTGAATGTTTTGTGTTCTACACAGTGTCAGTAATCTCAGGTTCCAAAGCAACCAGACTTAAAATATAGAGTGTGCTTTGTTTCCTCAAGATAAAACTCATGCCAGTCCCCAGTCACTCAGTAAACAATCTCAGCAAAGTTAACTGATCAAACTAGTCGTTCATGCTTCAAACATCTAATAAATTATGAACACAATGTCAGACTTGGAATAAGAAAGGAAAATAGCTGTATATAAATGACATTGGATTTTAACAGCTCTAGCAAATTTCAAAGTTAAGTTTAATCAAAAAAAAAAGATCACATGCATGCTCTGGAGAGAGCCACTCTCAGATCTCCTCAAAACTCCCATCGATACTGTTCGGTCAGACATTTCAAGACAGCTGTGGACACAACCAAACCCAAGCACTTCGCTTTTTAGTGTTAACTCCCGGTCATGCATTATTCACAAAACTGTTGACATTTGAGCATTAAAGTTACCCTGTCAAAACTGTGATTCATTTAAGACTGTCCACAAAAAGCACTACTACTATGATTAACTGGCTGTATCCAAACTACGTTACGCTAGTAAGTTTAGCACATATTTTGGTGTCAGAGTGAATGTCTTCCTGACATGAAATCAAACAGTTGAACCAAGGTTTCTAGGGAAGATCAATGTCAATTCTCTGGCAGAGGCAAGGTCGTCCTTAAACCTCGGCCACACGCTTTGCCAAAAGCAGCTCTGAGCTGTCTTTCTACCATACTGCATACAGAAAGCAACAGACATTTGGATTAACTCCGACAGAGGCTCTCCAACTCTTCAGTTTGTTTTGCTTTCCTAAGATGTGCTTTTTCCACCTCTGAAATAACGACCATAAGCGCAGAAGTGCTTCATGCATTTTAAGGAACAAGCTGAGACTTCTACCTTATCAATTACTGGGTTTTAGAATTCACAAATGGATCTAAAACAAATGGAATTTAAAGTCAGACCTTCTTTTGCATTCAAAGTTGGGCTATTTGTTTGGATTAATGGAAAAATAAATTACAGCCTATTCTAATAAATAACTGCTAGTTAAGAAGTCAAAGAAATTGTGAGCAGTTTTTAGATGAGAGGTGTGGAAATAACACTGGCTTCAAAGACATATTCTGCTCAGCTCATGTCAAAGAAGAATTCAATATTGCTCCTATACCTCCTCATATCAGAAAACTGCTTCTCACCCAGCACATACATCATCTTTGCAACAGTGTTCAAATATTTTTGCAGATAATTATTCTAGAATGGTTACTTTTCCACCCATGGAACCCTTCTGTACCAGGCGAACTACATCCACATTTAAAGGCTCCCTCTAAATGGCAAAATATTATGTGATTCAAACCTGTATAAGTCTTGATATCAATGATTTGCTAAATCATCATAACTGTAAAAAAGTTCTTAATTTATTCACTTGCAAAATTCTTCATCTAGCAAGTTAAAACAGTAGTATGTACTGCGTGTACTCTGTGAATGACAGCTTGTACAATATCTAGTGGAACAGCAGGGCAAACCAGGGCAGTCATAGCTTTACCTCACAGCCTGCAAGGGTTGTTTCTGTGCCAGCTCCAGATCCTATCTTAGGCTGCATTACAACTCCTCACACTTGGTGTCAGCTACTATGGCAGTCCTACCTCAAACACTCACAAGTAACTAAAATACAAGTGGCACTGTCAGAGCGGACAACTCTAGCACGCAAGGGAGTGGGAAGCTGAGGCAGTCTGGAGGGCCAATGAATACTGAGCGACATCGTGCGTTGCTGCCTGGTGCGAGTCACTCCACAAACACAACTCCTTTAGAACTGGGTATGCTGCTGAGGAGCTCCTGGCGGTGGTCATGCTGTACAGCGCTCACTCTGCTCGTCACTTCCTGTCAATTAATAAAATGTATTCACACACAGCACATGCAAGCGAAAGGTCAATTCTTGCATAAGCCTTTGTCACTGCAAGGCTTTCACATGCAAGGATTCACTGCAACTGATACTGCTGCTGGTAATTATTAAAAAATACAGTGAAGCAAAAACTGTGGGTGGCCCCAAACCAGTTGCCAGATGATTATTTTGATAATCGCACGGATCTTTGTGATGGGCTAGAGGATTAACTACGTTTCTCCTTGAAAGTGAAATGAGCTAAGAGAGCGCTCTAAGAATTGTCTGTTCGCACAATCTATACCAGAGATTTGCATCCAAGGCATCTTTCATCATATGTCTGAAAGCAAGTACCATACTAAAAAAACATCTACCACTTGAGATGTTTCCCAGGACTGGGGAGACCAGCACCAAATGCCTGAAGTGGAGGGTCACCCTGCTCGGAAGGATGTTGCTCTGTATAACTGATGTGTGTGAGCTGAGCAAATCTCAGCTAGCCCACACGACAGATGTCCAAACTCTGCCTTCTATTAATGTAGATGGCTGATCAAAAAAATGCCATGCTGGTGTTGGTTTGGCAATATGCAATGAAATCTGTTACTGGATACCCCACTAATCACCATGAGGAAGTGACTGATGCATGTAAGTCTTCTGATGTTTGCACTGTGCTTTCACAAAAGCACTATTCGTGCATCAGCTCTGATGAGCGCTAACAAGGGAAACCTGCTTACAGCAGCTGGACAGCTTGATTAGTTCCACACGCCCAAATACAAAAGCTTATTTTTCTGCAAGGCTTCAGTAAGTGTGCCGTTAGGGACAGCACTGCTTGGCCTTGCAGGCTCTGCAGATGTAAAATGGCACAGCTCACTCGTCCATGCACAAGCGGGAACCAGCAAACGGAACTAGATGAAAGAAGGCATCTTGGAAGAATCAAGGTCTAACTCACAATCAAGAGTTACCAACTACAGCATCTGTACCTTAGAGAAATTTGAGTGATGTCAGAATAATCATTAACACATGTGGTGCCAGTCACAAGATGAAAG